AGAGTGAATGGAATTAATAAAAATGAAGGTGAAGCTGGGAGGAAAGCAAACTTAAGATAAAAAAAGTTTTTGAAGAATTACTATCTGTTAAGAATGTCCAAATTGAACGGGCCCATAGAACTGGGAAAAAAGAATCAAGTAAGCCGAGAACAATAGTGATAAAACTTTTGGATTTTAAAGATAAAGTTGCAATTTTGAGCAAGTCGAGTAATCTGAAAGGGAAAAACATCAATATAAACGAGGATTTCTGTTCTGAAACAACGCAAATCCGGAAAGGTTTGAGGGAAAAAATGAAAATCGAACGAGCAGCTGGTAAGTTTGCATACATATCTTATGATAAATTGATAACTTGCGATTGGGTTGCAAAGAAAAGCAAAAATTCATCTTCATAATATTTTTCATTAATTAACGGAATTTTATTTTTACTATTATTTTAAATTAAACTGTTTTTATAATGGAGGAAAATTTCGTAATTAAATTTTCGGATGAAAATGACATTTTCGGTGATTATGACACCGACTCAAATTATCTTAATCACAAAATGTTAGAAAGTAAATATTACTCCGTTGCTGAATGTTCGCAACATCTAAAACAAAATAAAAGCACTTTTTCAATTTTAAAAATCAACATTCAAAGTTTGAATAAAAACATTGAAAATTTGAAAATATTATTAAATGAACTTAAACACGATTTTAAAATTATGTCTGACGGAAACTTGGAGTAAAAGTGGTGAAACAAATTATGAATTTGATCTAGTTAATTACGCATCAATTCACCAACCACAAGAATTTAATGTAGGTGGGGGCGTTAGTATTTTTATCCACGATTAACTTAATTATATTTTACGTAACGACCTCTGTGTTAACGAAACAGATTGTGAATCAATATGCATTGAATTAGTAAATTAAACTGAAAAAAACATAATTATAAATAATATTTATAGACCACCATCTGGTAACATGAAAAAGTTTAAAATTCATCTTAAAACATTTCTAAACAAAATTAAAAATTACAGGAAACATATTTATTTGGTCGGGGATTTTAACATCAACATAATTAACTATGCTACTAATAATAATGCTAAGAATTTTATAAATACTCTTTTAGAAAATAGCTTTATTCCAACAATAAACAAATCAACTAGAGTTACAAAAAAGTCTTCTACTTTACTTGATGACATCATAACTAACAGTTTTTATAATAGTCCTCTTTTCACAGGTATAATTCAGACTGATTTATCGGATCATTTTCCAACATTCTTAGCAACCAATAACATTTTCATTAACAATGTTGCTATAAAATTCACAATGTTTCGGCGACATATCAATGAAAACTCCTTAAAGCATCTTAAATGCTGTTTAAAAAATAATGTTGATTGGAATTTAATTTTGGAATCAAGTGATGCTAACAATGCTTATAACTTGTTTCTTGGTCAATTTTGCAAGCAATATGAAATAGCGTTTCCAGAAAAGAAATAATCATAAATACCAAATCACTTCAAAGTCCCTGGATGTCAATAGGCTTACTAAAATATTCAAAAAAGAAAGAAAAATTATATATAAAGTATCTTAAAAAAAAATCTTATAAAAATGAAATAACTTATAAAAATTACAAAAATATATTCGAAAAAATAAAAAGATCAAAAAAGCTTTATTATGCTCAGTTATTAAAAAAACACAACGGAAACACTAAAAAATTATGGAATGTAATTAAGGATTTAATTGGAAAAAATAATTACAAAAAAAACACTCTGCCAAAAAATCTTTTAATTAATGGAAAATTAGTTTATGATAAATCTAATATAGCTGAAGAACTAAACAACTACTTTGTTAATATTGGTCCAAAATTGGCTGCTAAATTTCCATCTAACTCCACTCCTTTTGATTCATACTTAAAAACTTATGACAAACCTATGGACAAAACTAATTTAAAACTTAGCGAGCTGAGAGCTGCATTTAGCAGTCTCAAAAGTAAAAAAAGTGAAGGTTTTGATAAAATTAGTATTGATATTGTCAAATCAGTATTTGGTATTATTGAACCTTCTTTATTTCATGTTTTTGATCTTTCATTTAAAACAGGTATTGTTCTTGACAAAATAAAAATTGCCTGTATAACACCAATTTTTAAATCTTGAGATAATTCAAATATCTTACAGGCCTATATCCATACTACCTTGCTTTTCAAAATTGCTAGAGAGAATAATGTATAATAGATTATATAATTATCTAACTGAGAACAACATGTTGTATTGCAAGCAATTTGGTTTTAAAAAAAAATTCTACTGAACATGCAATAGTTGAACTTTCTAATCAAATATCTAACGCCTTTGATAATGACTTTTATACATTAGGAGTTTTCATTGATCTGTCAAAAGCTTTTGATACCGTAAATCACAATATTCTAATAAAAAAACTTGAAAACTACGGAGTGAAAAATAAAAACTTACATTGGTTCAAAGGGTATCTGACAAACCGAAAGCAATTTTTATATTATGATCAAAATAATACAACTCCATATTCCATAACTTGCGGGGTTCCTCAGGGCTCAATTTTAGGACCACTCTTATTTCTATTGTACACAAATGACTTATACCTAGCAACAAATCTTTTAGACCTAATTTTGTTTGCTGATGATTCCAATTTTTTTTATTTCCACAGAGATATTAAAACATTTTTTAAAATAGTTAATGAACAGTTATGTAAAGTTAATGAATGGTTCGTAAGTAACAAACTTTCATTAAATGTGGATAAAACAAAATATATACTTTTCGATAAAGTAAATGAATCAGAAAATATTCCTCTAAAGTTATCAAATCTTATAATTAATAATACTTATATTAAAAGGGAAACAAGCGTAAACTTTTTAGGAGTAAAACTGGATGAAAATTTTTCTGTGGTAATCACATATAAATAGTATTGAAACAACACTCTTAAAAAATATCGCAATGATGTTTAAGGCTAAACCTTTTTTAAATGTAGCATCCCTAAAAAAATTATACTTTGCCTTTATTCACAATTCTTTGTCTTACTGTAATATTGTGTGGGCTAGTACTGGCTATACAAAACTTAAGAAAATCAACAACAAACAAAAACATGCATGCAGAATAGTGTTTGGAGCCTACAGAAAAACTCCTTGTGAACCACTTTTACGTACACTCGGTGCTTTAAATGTGTATAAACTCAATTTACACCAAGTTTTATTGTTTATGTTTAAAACAAAAATGGGATGGTCCCCGATAATTTTTCAAACCTATTTTAATAAAGTTAATCATAAATATTCAACGAAGTTTTCTGATAACAACTTTGTTCTTCTCAAGTATAATTTAAAATTAACTTCCTATTCAATTAAATATTGCGGACTTTATCTGTGGAAAAAATTCCCAGATATTGTCAACAAAAACAAGACTACATTAGAGCAATTTAAAAATGAATTACCAAAACAATTATTACTATTCAGATATCTTAATTTATCTGACTTCAAATGTTTATTTTAAAGTTTAATCAAATAAAAAAAAATTTATTTATTTCAATGAGATTTAAGTAATGGTGTTAAAATTTTATTTTGTGATAAAGTTAATTATGAATTTTTTTTTTATTTATTTAAAACTTTTTGTTTAAATGACTTAAATATTTTAGCGGTTGTTAGCATTTCAACAATTCTTAAATTATCTGCTATTTTGAATTTCTTAATTTTCTCATTTATTTTCTGTTTTAATTCTGATCTATAATTTATATATTTGTATTATATATATTTGTATGTTACGGTTATGTAGAGTTTTTTTTTATGCAGAGTTTTTTTTTTATATGTGGGGCTCGGCGATAAGGCAAACAGTGCCTTTTTCTTGCTCCTGACATTAATTTTGATTTATGTATATGCATTGTAAACATTCTTTAACGGCGATATAAATAACACCAAAAAAAAAAAAAAAAAGCTATAAGTTTATTGCAATAAAAAATTTTTTGAAAATTTCCGTTAAAACTACAGGAAAATTTCCGGAAATTTTCAACCGCATTCAAAGGTCACGTGACTTTGTTTAAAAAACTAAAAATGAAAGTTTTAATAAAAACCATTTCGATTTCAAATGAAGAATTTTCACCCAGCCTAACCGGATCCTGGTTGCTCATTGGCAAGATCTTGTATAGGCGGGGTGAATAATTTTACATATGAACGCAATGTTAAAATTGTATCAGTTTTAAAGAAGAGGCGAGATCTCGGTAGTTTTTCTATCTCGCTTAGGCGGGATGATTTTTATCTATAAGAACACCCCCTAAAACTAGATTCTTGAACTTTGAACTAGATTTTAAGGAATAGTGGAACGAATAGCAATACGAATAGTATATTTGTTAACTGAAGTTTTATGGAATTTAATATTCTCGAATAGTACTATTCTTTAAACGTCGTAGCCGAAGTTTAACGAATATTCAGTGTTCGGCTTCGTTTAACTTCGATATGCATAGTTAAACGAACTTTCCCGGTGTCCATATCCTGTAGGCTGTCTTAAGTGGAAAAACCTTTTTGTTTAGACTGATAAAACTAAAAGATTAGGAAACAAAGCTTTATTAAAAAATTTTGGGACAAACGGTTTTACTTACAATACAATTTTTTTACAACATGAGAATACTACAATACAAGAAATTAATTGCTATAACCGGCACTGGTATTTAAACTAAAATTACAAATTTACTAAAATAAATAATACTAATTCGACACATCTTTTTTGTAGAAAAGTATTCTTAATATGTTTTGGAAAAATGCTCAACAAGTAATGACGTCAGAAATTTAACAAAACAGAGTATCTATTTTTGTTATGCATTATTTTATTATGTCATATTTTTACATTTTTTTATATTATTACAATTAAGTAAAAGAACTTTAAAAGAAGTCAATCATAAAATAACTTCAACTTTCTTCAATTACGACAATTAAAATAATTTAGTTTTATTAACTTTTTTGTTTTCAGAATAAAAAAATCAAGATCGACATCGGCTATAACACAATTATTACGTCACTTTTTGCATTGCATTTTTAAAACAAGCTTTAAAAACAACGCAACTTAACACATTTAAAAACGCTTAGTTTCATCATTATTCTAATGCTAGTTATTTTTAATTATAATAAATATCTAAAATCATTTTTCTTTCACAGATGCCGATCTTGGTCGATGAAAACGTTTATCAGTATCATGTTCGTGATTTTCTATCATCCATTGAGCTGTGAAAGTTTTAAAATATTTTTCGCATGAAGCTTCAACGTAAAACTGAGAAGGGGTGCGATCAGGATGATCTGCTTCGCCTTGAATGCGAATGCTGTTGATTTTTACAGGAACTGGAAACTCATAAGCAATCCAATTTAATCCTGGGCTAGAGACTCCGTTTGATACCCATATACTATCAGGATTGTTATCAAATGCGTTGCTAGGATAATAACCTAAAGTAGTTTTTATTAAAATTTATTAAAAAAAAAGAAGGTAATCAAGATTTATATTTATTATACTAAGCTTAAACGCAACTGAATCACAATAAAAACTCAATGAGGAAATATCAACTTACCAGGGCCAAAGTACGTACTTGCATAACCTTTTGTTGGATCATCGTGTATTGGGAAACGGGCATTGACAGAATCAAACATTTGAATAGTTTTCACTGTCCATAAAAAGGGCACGTTATCAGCATTTCTAACTCTCCAAAAAGGATAACTACCGTTTATATAAGGACACTTGTCTTTACAAAAGCCATTTGCAGAATCGCATTCGTGTTTACGAGCTTTAAAAAATAAAATGTGAATTGCATACATACATACATACATACATACATACATACATACATACATACATACATACATACATACATACATACATACATACATACATACATACATACATACATACATACATACATACATACATACATACATACGAACATACGAACATACATACATAGGGGAACATGGGGTAAGATGACGAGTGAGGCAAGATGACGACCTACCGCTATCTTTTAAGAAAAACTAAATATAACAGCTGACTTATGCTGAAAGGGAAATAGATTATATTTACTAAATTTATTACTGCTTTTTTTTTAATTATTATTTTTGTGACGATAGTTAAGTATTAAAAAGGTTTTTTTGACATTGATAAAAAAATTTTTATCCTTGTTTGACTTGATTTATTTCATCACTATATCACCAGCTAAAGGTAAGTAAAAATTTCCAATTAGTTTGATTAATCTGGAAGCCATACTAGAAGTATTAGGCTATAATAACTTGATTATATGTAGTTCTTATTCATTTTAAAGATTGTTTAATATATATATATATATATATATATATATATGTATATATATATATATATATATATATATATATATATATATATATATATATATGTGTATATATATATATATATATATATATATATATATATATATATATATATATATATATATATATATATATATATATATGTATATATAAAGCAAAATCTAAATATATATTTACATCCACTGAGTTCTCTGCAGATTTGTAATCTTTGCTCTTTATATCTTGGATCTGTGTGCCACTCCCATGACTCGCAATAACCAGGTTTGAAGGGTCTTTTCCATGGGGCAACTATTTCATGTGAGTAAGTGCGTGGATCTTGATCAAAACCTTGTTTTCTAATGTGGTACACATCCCCATGAACACCACCTGAATACAATGCTTTAACAATACCAATAAATAAAATCAGTGCAAATATGAAGCAAAAATAAAGTGACATCATGAACTTCGACTTGTAAGCAAAGTCTTCTTATCAGTGTAAAATTTTAAATGATAGAACTTATTAATTATCAAAAAATAAAGTTGAATAATTCTCCTAACAGGAGGTTTATGTTGTAACTACTAAATTTATTTTTTACAGTTTATCTTAACAAATTAATGCGTTTAAAGTTTAATAAACAAAATAAATAAAAAACATTTGTATATAAATTTTATGATAGCAAAAAATAATAAAAATTATTTAGTACTAGTTTTTTAGTCTTGAGATTAAAAAAAAAATTTTCAATATAACCCCCAGTATATAGAATTGTTACTTAGCAAAAAATAAAGTAAAGCAAAAAATTTAACATCTTTTTAATAAACAATAAATTTCGTAAGAATCTATTAAAGTATGTTACTATAGTTTCCGATGCTTTAGTTCATTTTAAGTGAACTAGCTACCTTGAAACGTTATGTTACACCAATATTAGCTTTAAACGCTTCGTTAACCCAAACAAACCTATATTTAAAAATGATGAATTTTAAATATAGATTACTTTAAGTTAAATAAAAAAATTTTGAACTTTTTTAATTCTCATAAAGAAAAATATTTAAATACGACAAAACGACTTTTCCAAATACACAAGGGCTAATAAAGTTTTTTCTGTTTTAGGTAACACTAAATATTTTTTTAAATAACCCTAAAATATTTTGAAAACTTATTAATAGCTTTGATTAATTTTACTTTAAATATAACAATTTTCAATTGAAATTATTCAAATACCTGGATATATTAGTTGACAATTTCTTAGTAAACAATTTCTTATTTATTTATATCTAAATAAACCAAAACAAACTAGATTAATTCATAAATAAAGTAAAATAGATTAATTCATAATAAAGTAAAATAGAATTTAATTAAAATGCATATATGATGTTATAACGTTTTTACGCAAAGTACGATAGTTAAGCCATTTTATTAAAACAATAGGCTGGGTGAATAAAAATGAGCAAGCTTTTACTCAGTAATAGTCAGCTCTACGTGAATAAAAACTTCAGCAATTTTAAGTTTTTACTCACGTAAAGCGTAAAATACTTAACTAGGGTATAATGAAGTACTTAAAAACAAATTATTGGGAAAACTGGGGTATAATGGGGTACTTAAGAAAAACTATAAGGTAAACTAGGGTATAATTGGGCACTTAAAAAAATATATAGAGAGAGGAAACTAGGGTTTAATGGGGTACTTTAAGAAAAGTCATCAAAAAGCTGGCAAAAATAGTTAAACTGTAAACAAAATACAACACAAACAATTATCTAATAAATAAAAAGTTAATCTCATTAAATAAAAAATATTATTTAGCATTTAAAAATCTTTGAAAAAAAACCATTTTACTCTATTCTAGGGACAAAATGGAGGTACACAATCTAACAATAGCATATGTTGTAGACTTTATTCAATATTTAGGCATAGTTAACAAGTAAAACTTAGTCTTTTATCTTCTTCTAAACAAACACACAAGTATTGCACCCAGCTGTGGCAATCACTACAAGAAACCCAACTTTCACCACTAGTCAAGTATTTTTAAGAGGCAGGAAGTGTTTTCCTCTGAATTTTTCACTATTTTCTTCTTTTTAGGTGCAGTGTTTTATCCATCTATTTCAGCATTTTTTTTAATGCATAACCATTTGCTTATTATTTTGAGCCTTTTTTCTTTTTTGATGGATTTCGCTCATTTTTACTCAGGGTATCTAATAGCGACACTCTATATGGAGATTGCTGTTTTTCCTCTTTGCCTTGATAGTCTCCTTTGTAGTGACTGCTTTGGTATTGTAATGATTAACCTTGGAGATTTCAAAATGTTGTGGTATTAATAATACCACAAGATATTGAAATTATGTGGTATTAACATTTAATCACTTCTACAATTTGTAGAAGTGATTAAATGCTGGAAGAAGTGGGTATTACGCTGGTAAAATCAGATGATTGGCTGGTAGAAGCAATTGTATGGACGTTAGAAATATTCAGATTGCTACTCAATGCAGATATTTGGGTTGTAGATACTATTTAATGACTGGTTCTTACAGATGGATAGCTGACAGATGTACAGAGATGGCTAGCAACAGTCATGTCGCATGCATCAGCATTAAGGTTTGTTTCAATGAAGTTAATATTAGTAGTTTCTGCTGACAGAAAGTTTGTTTTGGAAAAAACATTTCTTTTAACTGGCCATTTGCCTGCTTTTTGAAAGCCGTTTATGGCATTTGTCATCGTGGCAGCTTCCGGGTAGGCTGAGCCAAAAAGTAAAGCTAATTGAAATTGAGTGAACACGCGCCCAGAATTTTTTCCAACCATTTCCTAATATTGTGGTCATAGTAAGTGCTCAACCATTTCCTAAAACTAATGTCATAGTAAGGGCTTTATAAAAGTCAAACCCAAGGGCTGCATTAAATGTGTGAAATGAGGAGGCAAACACAGAAGAATAACGCCATTCACTCTCGCAATATTAATCAATTCAATATTTTTAGTAAGAGATTTATATCCATCTAAAATAAGTAGACCTGGAGAGCTTATTTTGGCCCCTGAATATTGAATAAATTTTTTTAACCAAACAATAAAAAATTCTTTTTGTATACACCCGCTTGAGTAACATTCAGCCCAGACACCTTGTGGTGCTCCATTTATTAATTCTGGCTTCATTCGTTTACGAGGAAAGATCATCATGGGTGACATGTACCTCCCCCATGCTGAAAAGTAAAAAACGGCTGTGTCAAGCTGACTCCTATCAGCTGAAGTGAGAGAACCAACTTGTCTCTTCCTTTTCGTTGAAACAATTTTAGAAAGACACTTCGGAACTGAGACACTTTAGAAACAAATGTTTTGTCACATTTCCGGATATTTTCAACATATAGTTGTTTGAATCCACAAAGTTTTTCCAGCAAAGAAAAAAAGAGAACCCACAGCCACTCGGTTAAAACAATTGTTTGGAATGTCTCTCCATGAAACCTTTATACCAGTCATAACCCGCAATGCCAAGGTCGTTATTAAAACTGTGTTTCTCATTGTTTTTAACTGCCAGCTATACTGTAAATAAATAGTTAATTATTTGAACCTACTCTTTTCACACGCTTTTTTAATATTATGATTTTTTAGACAAAATTTTACTCTTCTTTTAAGAGTATTTTGTGGTACATTATATACTTTGGTGGGTTATTTGCATCCTTGATCGTTATTACAAAGAGAATTACTTGTTGCATAGCACTTTTACTCCATGCTTGTTGATTTGACGTTCGTTTATTTGTTACATGTTATTTATCTTAAAAAATTAAAGTACAAACGAACCATAAAGTATACTAGAATAAAAGGTTTTTTAAAAATTTTCTATATAATTCTTACAATTATCTTATCTTATCCCCGATCTCCCCTACCATATATCCTAAAAATCATGAATTTAGCAAACTTGTCAGAAGCTCGTCTAATAGAAGATTTTAGAAAATTTAAAAAGTTTACAAGAAAAACTGCAATGCAAAACATCTTGTTGAGTTGTTCATGAAAAGGCTTAATTAGACTTAATTGACAATATTATAATGTCTATGTTAATGATATGTCTAAAATCCTTTTTATGAATATATTCAAAAATATTTAAATATTGAAAAAATTGCGGTAATATAAGCCTGGATACAAAAATATCCCAAAACTTTTCTCCTCGCCCTCCTGCCTAAATGTGAGTGTAGTGAAATTTTTTGACAGGTTTCAACTGTTTGTTGTTACAGTGCCTAGCTAAGCTTCTGCTTTAAATAATTTAAATAAATTGTGCTTTTCCATAGTTTAAGCCTTAGTTACCCAGTGGGCATTTCGACGTCGAACGAACGTCGAGCGACGTCGGATCTCGACGTCGGATCGACGTTGGGTTTACGTTGGAAATGGAAATGTTATTTGACGTCGGATAAACTGACATCGCGCGACGTCGGCATTCCGATGTAAATCCAACGTGTTTTTTGAAAACTAAAAAAACGTTACCTCAGGCGGGAACCGAGCCTCGATCTGTTAGTAACTAAGTCCTACGCGCTTTCCACTACACCACAGGGACATGTAAGTAAGTTGGTTTATTTAGTAATTTATACTTGTAGCTATTTGGGAATTATTACTTTGATAAGAAATAGTTTTGTTTAAATATTATATAAATATTAAAACGAATAGTTATATATTATAAAAAATGTATACTCGAAAATTTTAATAGTTAAAAAACTATGCTAGTGCATCATACAAAACCTCATGATGTTTTATCAACCATTATTCAAACTTCTTTCCATTAATAAAAAACACGCTTAGTTGGATTAAATTTTCATCAGCGATGTCTTACGACGTTGTTCCGACGTCGTTTTAAGGACGTTGGATTGACGTCGGAAGACGTCAAAAGACATCGGAGTACGTTAATATTATGACGTTGCCCGACGTCTTTTTATCGACGTTGGATCGATGTCAGTACTGCGACGTTTTTTGGACGTCTTTTATAAGATGTCGGAACAACGTCAAAATACATCGAAACGACGTCAGGGGATGTTGAGATAAAGACATCGCCCGACGTCATTTTACTGACATCGGAACAACGTCGGAATAGGTCTTTTGACATCGCTGATGAAAATCGTACGTAAATCCGACGTCGGATTGACGTCGGGTGCCCACTGGGTACGTATGATTTAACTTGATAAGTATGCAAACATTAAACAATATAAAAGTGAACTAAACAACTTAGTTAAAAAATTAACTAAATTTTAAATAATTTAATTACAAAGAAGTATTAGTTGAAAAAAAAATTATGATTTATTGTATCAAAAGCTTTTGACGTTTTTTATGATTTTTCAAATAGTACATCAAAACTTTAAATCGTGTATTCCATTGATTTATTTATCTAAATCAATGTTAATTAATTTATATTATTTATATTTGAAAGAAAACAAATCTATATTATTTTATACAAAAGTATCGCAAATACTTTAACAAGAACTGATATGGAAGAGATTTAGCGGCAATTTGTAACTCTAGATACCGATTATCAATTAATCTCTTTGAATATCTCTTCTACTCTTTTGAACAACTTATGTATAGTTAATCAGAAAAAAATTTGTTGTACAATTTAAAACTTTGTAGAATATACATTTTTTATTACTTAATATGAATTCGTAACTACATTGCTATTAAATCAGAACAAATAAAGAGTAAAAATAAACGAGTTTTAAATGAACGTTCAAATTCTTTTAAAAGATATCTGAAAGACAATCACACAGATTTTAGAAAAAAATGCAAGAATAATTTTGTTCAATAAGTTTATCATGTTTGGAGTTTTTTGAGCCAACTGACTGAAGAAATGTATAATTAAGAGAGGACAAATTTTTTAGGTTATAAGGTAAATTTCTATAAACAGTCTTCTAACTTATGTATTGCTTATATTACAACAAATAAAGATGGATGGCTAAAAATTGAATTGATTGGAGGTTTGAAACAACAAAACCTAAAACCTTATCCCAAAATGAAAGGACATCATTTTAATTCATCTAATAATTTTTTAACATAAATGGTCGTAATTTCCAAACAGAAAAAGATTACTAAATAAAATTAAATGATTGTTTAAAATATATTTAAAGTATATTTGATGTTAAAAAAACCTATTTAAGTTGCGTGTTTAAGGTGAGGTGTTAAACTTAAAAAAAATTGTTGTTTCCAGTCTCCAAGAACTAAAATTTTTTGTTAAGCAAGCTTGAGTTTGCTTTAGGCTTTAGATCTTGTCATCACTCTTGTCAACACCTTTGATAATGAAGGACTGCTTCAAACCTAATAAACTACAAAATAAAAACTTGAAGGAAAAGACTTTTTGGAGCACCTTTAATAACTAATTAAAAAATATACTGTTTTACTTCAACTTAATTTTTTACTAACTTTATATTTTAACTTAACTTATTACTATAATATATAAATATACATTATCAAAAAAATTTGAAATAAAACATCAAAAAAAGACACTAAATGTACAAAAAAACAATAGTAGAATGATTTATACAAAAACATATAAATAGAATTTGTTATATTATCAAGTATTTGCAGAATTATTTATATGAAAAACCATAGATAAAGATCTATAACAAATGTAAATGTATGTATATATATATATATATATATATATATATATATATATATATATATATATATATATATATATATATATATATATATATATATATATATATATATATATATATATATATATATATATATATATATATATATATATATATATATATATATATATATATTTATTATTATTTATTTATTTTTTTTTTTTTTGCCGTGTAAATATATACAATCTGTATGTTAATAACAAGATATATAGGTAGTAGGGAAGGGGGGAGAAGAAGACTAATATGTCTTATCGCCAAGTCCCTTGATAAATTCCGTAAATATAAAGTTTAATTTTAAAATATGCGATTCCGCTAACTATATAAAATAAACAAACGTAAAATCGGTAAAGTAATAAATAAAACATCTATTGTAAAAAATAACAAGAAGCGCTATTTACTTAAACATATTCTTCTAAAATTACGGAAATATTTAATTTTTATTTATTGAAAAATTATGAATTAACTTTTTTTTTTATATTAAACCTCAGAACACAAAACCAAAGTTAATGATCAAAAAATAAAAAGAATAACAACACATATTAAACAACAAAGACATAAATAAACTTGAAAAGTTAACAAGTGCAGTTTGACTTAAGCTTTTCTAAAATTAATATACTTTTCATTTAATTGATAGATCATAACGGTATTTTGCAATTTTAGAAAAATACCCTTATGATTAATCTATCAATTAAATAAAAAATATATTAATTTTAGAGAAGCTTTAATAATTATAACAAGTATAACAATTATAACAAATTAAATTGTTATAATTGTTATAATTGTTATAAGATAATTCTAATTATAACACTTGTTAATTGTTATAATATAATTCTATATTATAACATTTGTTATATATAATTCTACAAATACGTAATAATAATTGTATAAATTTTAAAGTTTTGAAATATTTATATTAAAGGGACTATTTAAAATTTACTTGCACAAGTCATTTGCACTTAATTAAATAGGTTCCTGGGGTGCTGTTGCATGGTAATTTAGGCTTATTTTTAGACGTTAATAGCGTTTTTAGGTTAGCATTTGATTTAAAAACAGTTCTGTAACCAGCTTTTCTGAATATTCTTCTAAGTCTGGGAGATATTATTGGTATCCATGGTAAAGAGATTGTAGGAAGGTTATTAGAGTTTGATGGAATTTCATTTTTGTTCGCAAAACGTTTTTTTCGAACCTGATTAGAAATATCTTTAAGCATTTTTTCATCGTATCCATTTTCAGTAAACACTTGAATTAAAAAATTTATCTCATTTTTTAAATGGTTTTCGCTGCATATTGAGTATGCTCTGTGTATGTATCCTTTGAATATTGCTTTTAAAATTTTAGGATCATGATTAGAATGAGGTTTGATTTGGATATTGGTTATTGCATCCTTCCTGTAAACCTTGAACTCATATTTTCCTTGTATATTAATAATAACAGTTATATCCAAGAAGTTAAGTTTCATATTTTTGTTTTCAACCTCAATAGTATATTTTAAAGAAGGATGTTGTCTGTTAAGAATTGTTTGGAACTGTTCCGCTTGATTTAATTTAGAAAACCTTGCATGGCTATCGTCTACATATCTATGAAAGGATTTAATATCAATTAAAAGAATCATTGTCGTTGCCACTTTTATTGCTTTTTCCTCATGGTATTGTAAAAAAGATTCAGCCAAAACAACCATAAGAGACAATCCAATTGGGGCTGAATTCTCCAACGCATGAATCTCACCATTCCACAAGAAATAACAACGAAATAAACAAAGTTCAATTAGTTGTTTTGTTTCAGTTAAAGTAAGTTTAGTTGAGTTTTTGTTAGAAACGCTTTTATTTAATTGATCCAAAAGTATTAAAGTTGCTTCTTTTAATGGTATTAATGGGTATAAGTTTACGATATACAGGTATCCTTTGATATTGTAAACTTATAATGCCAATAATCCGGCGAAAATTTCAAATAAATTATTTAGTTTTGAGAGTATTCGTATTATCTGATGTTTTAAATTAGTTTATATATACATTTACTCTCGTACAAGATGTCAACATTTAAATCATATATATATATATATATATATATATATATATATATATATATATATATATATATATATATATATATATATATATAAAATAATAATTATATATATATATATAATATATATGTAATAAAATATATATTATATATAATATATTATATTATATTATAATATATAATATATATAATTATATATATATATGTAATAAAATACAGAAAGAAACAGAAAGAAACGGAGTACCATCCACAAGAGTAGTAAATAATCCTTCTAATCCTACTGATGATGACACCATTGATGATGATACCATTGATGATGACACCATTGATTATTCCGCTCTTATTGACAAATTTATTTTAGGATCTCTTACCTCAGTAATGGGTTTTCATTTTGAACTACACACAAGTGTAATTCGAGGTTTTATTTTATTTGCTAATAGCTCAGAGAACCAAGGATGCTTTTATTAATAATCATCTTAAAGTGAATTTTTTTTGTTGTTATTCTTTCTTAGTAAAATCCAGATTCTACAAATTCTACCCATTTTAATAATGAGCATAATTTTATCATTTTTGAGAGTTGCTCCATTGTCTTCACCATTGTCTTCACCGTCGTCTTCACCATTGTTTTCACGATTGTCTTATGAGACAAATTTCAACAAATAATCATGTATACAAACAAATCCTGGAAAAATCCTGGAAACTAAAAGTGATAAAGTTTAATTCCCATAATTCACTTGTGGTGAAACTGGTTTTTTTAAGAAAAAATATTATAATATTTTTAATTAGGTCAATATTCATTGATAGAATTTAAATTTCTTGATAAATGAAAGATGGTAAGAAGGTGGTAAGAAGGTGGTAAGGTGATAGAAGGCGGTAGTGTGATAGAGCAGGCTTAAATGAACTTAGTGAAAAAACATAATAAAAATATTGTAAATCTTGTAATTATAAAAAATATATAACCTAATGCATGTTGGTCATATTTCAGTTAAGCAGCGTAAAGTAAAATTATATCTTTATTTTTTTTTTTATGCGCTGATGACAATTATGTCTGAATATGGGTTGATATATCACTAATATGATTGTCTGGTATAACATATATAATCTTATATAATCTAAACATATATAATCTTACATCAATAATCTTCTGCAGATAAAAAAATATTTATTTTAGCGCCTTAACCGTATTTAAACCAACCATAGCCCTAAATTTGATGACCCTAGTTAAAACCTTCATTATTCTAAGCATAACCTTCATTACCCTAAACATTGCCCTCGCTTAATCTTTTCTTTTATTTTTTTATTTGTAGAAGGTTGTGCGTTGTTTTATACTTTATTCTCAGAAGCGTTGTTTAATACATTGTTTAACAAAGTTTAATACGGTTAATCAAGAGCCAGAAAATAAACGAATGGTTAAGGCCAACAAACTCTTGCTAAACGTAGAAAAAAGCAAATATAGTCTTTTTACAAAACTTTCTGGTTCATACACCCTCCCCTTAAAACTTCCTGAACTGCTTATCAACAAAACTAAACTTAAAAGAGAATACTCGAGCAACTTTTTAGGTGTAATTCTTAATGAAAGAGTTAGCTGGAGTAATCATATGAAAAAAGTGGAAAAGAAAATATCTAAAATTATTGGAATTAGGTATAATTCAAATCATCTTCAGAATACAACTTGTTAAACAATTTTTATTTGACTTTTATTCATAGCTGCATCAATTACTGTAACATAATCTGGGCGAGTACATATCCAACAAAGTTAAATGCAATTTACAAAACAAATACATGCATGTCACTTAATATTAAACGCAAACAGGTACACCAGTGCCAAACCTCTACTAAGAGAACTTGGAGTGCTTAATGTCTCAATTAACAACTTTGTTATACCAAAAACAAGCTGACTTCTCAATATCTCAATATCAATGATTTGTGAACTCGATTCTATCAAGTAATATACTGTAACTTCCACTCTACATTTTAAACGTGCAACGAAACAACACATATTCAATATTGATTATAACCAATTACTAACTTACTTTTAAAACCTTTATTTAACCTCAGTTACTTAATATCTTAATATTGACGCAATACGTTTTTATTTTGTTTTTTCAATAAGTATTTTCTTCAATATGTATGGTTTCAAAGTTATGTTATTATATTGACGTAAAAAAAATAATGATAAAAATAAAAATAAAAAATAAATAAATAAATGAATAAAAAAATGGTATTAATTAAAAAAACGAAAATAATAATAATAATAATAATAAAAAAAGTTTCTGCATGTGTATAATATACAAGATTATATCTAAATTTGTTACAACGGGGCTGGATGATAAGACCATGTCTTCTGCCAGCTCCAGTCAGAATTTTTTTAAACTTTATATTGTTATGTTGTAAAACATTGTAAAACTTATTTCAAAGGACAAAATAAAATAAATAAAAATAAATAAAAGCGCAAAAAAAAGCATGTAAACTATGCTGCTAAACTGTTGGATTACCTACTTGTTTTTTGTGACCAAAAATCTCTAAAAAATTTAAAAAATTAAAAACGCAAAAAAAAGTTGTTTAGATTAAGATTATTTTGGTCACGAACTCCTGAAATATTTTTTTTAGTCAAGTATGGAAAAAAAAGGCAATTTGTCAATTGGGATTCCATCCCATAAAACTTTTCTCTACTCAACCTTTTGACAATCGTACAAGCGCATAAGCGCCGCCAGCATTTTTTGGTCTTTGAGGTAGCTAACTTCCAGACATGGAGCAAACTCCAAACATTTATATGTTTATACTTATGTCAAATAAGGATGCTTACGATGATTGGAGCTTGGGAACAAAAAAGCCCTAATTTTTCCCCCCCCCCCTGCCCTAAACGTGAGAGCAACAAGTTGGTGAAATACCATTTATACTATTTTCAACTAGACTTATATTCATCAATAAATTTAAGCTTCATAGTATTTCATAGAGCTGGCGTCGAACCTCGTACTTCTGGGTACTGAGCCAGAATTCTAACCACTGCGCCACGGCAAACTTTATATGGTCATAATTTTTGAACGCTAAAATATTTTACTATGAAATTTAAAATAGTACAAAAAATATTTCATCAGCTTGTTGCTCTCAAATTTGGGGCAGGGGGGACAAAATTTTGGGGCTTTTTGTTCCTAAGCTCCAATCATTGCAATTTTTGACAAAGCATCCTTATAAGACATAAGTATAAAAATATAAATGTTTGGAGTTTGCTTTATGTCTGGAAGTTAGCTACATCAAAGACCAAAAAATACTGGCGGCGCCCCTGTACAAGCGACCTTGTATTTTTTTTTCTGACGTTTAATAATATTAAATTTCAGTGTATTTTTTTTTTTTTTCCAAAGTTACTTTTTACTTTAAATTTTTTGTTATCTTGTAATGGATTTGCTTTAATGTAAACAAAAATCTGATAAAACTTTTGCTGTATGTAAGAAAAGAAGTAGTGGAAAATTGTTTATTTGAACAAAAATTATATTCTCGAAGCTAACGGCTCTATTTGATTTTGTCTCTGATGTAGAGAACTTTATAGAATAATTAATGCGTAAATAAGCATTTTTAAACGTTTTTATATAAAGCGTCATTTTTATATACAACACGCGTTGAAGGTGATTAAACCTGTAATATGATTTTTTATTATCGTTAAAACTTTTTAAAAATTGTTTAAAAAAGGTTTGAAAAATTTTTAAAAATTTTCACATTTTTTTTTTTACTGAAATGTTTTAATAATATATGATTTTTTACTTATTGTTGTAAATTATGAGTACTTTACTTTTAATGAAGAAATAAAAGAAAAAATAAATCAAGATAATTTAAACGTAAATGAAGCAACATGTTTTTTTATTAACAATATTTCTTGATTTACGTGTTTTGCATGCATTATTATAAATCCCATTTGTTTGTTGTTGTTTTTTTGCTTAAAAATTAATTATTTATCTGTATCTATATCTATTTATTCACAACCGTTTTAATTTTTACATGCCTACAACAATTACTTATTTATTATATTTTGCTTTGTGCGTATACAAAGAAATTTAAAGACGTTGTCTTTTTTTTTCATTATTTTAATATTTCTATTACAGGCGTTTTACTTGTCAGCGTTTTAATTGAATAGCATCACCTCACATCACTTTTAAAATGCTTCTTTCATTGCGGACAAATAAAATATGCTTACAATTAAAATATAATTCTAATTTGCAAAATCAATCAAGTTTCTATGACAACGCTAGTGTTAACTCAGGTGCTGAAACAATTATTCGTGAAGCAACTGAAAGAGATATTACTTTAAGTATAAATAGAATAAATAAATTTGTTCAAAGAAAAAGTAACTATAATAAAGTTTAAAGGAATTTAAAAATTTTTTTGACGTTTTTTATATTACCGCCGGCTACAACCGTTTACGTTGTCAGTGATGTTAGCAAACCCAAATCTACTTTTTTTTTTTGACACTGTTTAAAGTAAAGCAGTATTAAAATAAACTGTTACTTTGAATGTTGTAAATAAATTTGTTATGCTCGATACATTCTTGAAGTAAATTTCTTGATGCATTTTTGATGTAACGTCAAATTCTTATTAAACAAACGGATTGTTATTTTGTCGTATTATTTTTTTATAATTTCCTAGCATGTGCTTCTCATGTAAGCTGCACTTTTTTATAACTTTGTTCTTATTATTTATTATATATATATATATATATTTTTTTTTTAGATTTAAGGAAAAGAATTATTCAGCATATTCGTATAAAATACAAGTTTTTACCCTAGTCAACCAATACAAAGGTAAAATTTAATAAAATTAGGGTCTAGTAACAACGATAAGACATGGATTCTTTAATCAAAGGTTTAGGCGACTCGCATTCGCCAAAAGGTTTATTAGCAACGAGCCAAACTGAAGATGTTCTTTATGAAAAGATTTTGCAGTTATTTTATTTGTGTGATACTGACAATAAAGGCTATGCCACCCGCGACAATCTTTATCAATTACAAGACGAACTAGGCTTGAACATCGATGAAATTGATTATGCATTTGATCAACTTGATACTGACAAAGACAATCATCTCACGCTTGAGGAGTTCACAGCCGGGTTCGGATTGTTTTTAGGGTTGGAGCATTCTATTTGCAGTAAGACAGTTTTTCCTAATGAAGACTTTGCATTTCAGGTGTTTACATTGATCGACAAGCATGATAATGGATATATCACAAAAAATGATTTATATGAATCAGCAGATGTGTTAGAAATCGAAACATCGCAAATAGATAGTTTATTTCACAAGCTGAGTTATGGTAAAAGTGAGCGTGTTTATTTTGAAAATTTTACGAAAAATATGTTTGTTATTGTTTCTTTGTCGCCTCCTTTAAAAGAAATAAAGCGAAAGGAACAGGTTAAGGCTCGTAATATACGGAAGAAAAATCTAGTTGCAAGGTAACAATACATTAAATTCTAATGTTTTTTTTTTAATTTATTAGAAAAGAAAATAAAACTGCTTTTTTTTTTCTTAAAAACTAATTATAACCTTATTAATATATTTTAAAGGTTTCTTATTTCAACAAAGTTAAACATTAGTCTAAAAACTTAACTTAAATTTATTAACCTTTCTCATGTCCAAAACAATAGCCTCGATCCGCAAATGATCCTAGCTTTGCCATCAAATTTTTTAAATTCAAAAACTTAAAGTCAACGTTATTAAATAAAAATATTTTATTTTCGCGAAAAAAAAGTTCAATTTTTTTTGTAACTCAACAAAGAGTGAAGAGACAATTTTCATCGTCAATTGTGACACTGTACCCAGTGACGGATCCGAGGGGAAGGGAGATTGGGGCACACCCTCGTTTCCTAGCAAAATTGATTTTTTTTTTTAATTTAGAGGCCCTTTTGTAAATTTAAGAAACTTTTTTGCAAGTTTACTCAAACTTAAATAATACAGGCTCACCACTTTTTAGTTGACCATTCACTTAATTTATTTTTATAATAAAGTTATTTTTACCAAAAAATTGTTTTACTAAAAACTTATACAAATTGACAATAAAAAATAACAAAATTAATTAGAATTATCATATATCTTAAAACAAAAAGTTTCTTTTATATATATGGAAACTCTAAAAGTGAACTTTCACATGTTCTTTTTTTACGTAAAGGATATATATATATATATATATATATATATATATATATATATATATATATATATATATATATATATATATATATATATACATATATATATATATATATATATATATATATATATATATATATATATATATATATATATATATATATATATATATATATATATATATATATATATATATGTATATATATATATATATATATATATATATATATATATAAACAATTTTTTGGTAAAAATAACTTTATTATAAAAATAAATTAAGTGAATGGTCAACTAAAAAGTGGTGAGCCTGTATTATTTAAGTTTGAGTAAACTTGTATATATATATATATATATATATATATATATATATATATATATATATATATACATACATACATACATACATACATACATATATATATATATATATATATATATATATATATATATATATATATATATATATATATACATACATACATACATACATACATATATATATATATATATATATATATATATATATATATATATATATATATATATATATATATATATATATATATATATATATATATATATATATATATATATATATATATATATATATATATATATATATATATATATATATATATATATATATATACGCTTTTCGATACAGTTTTTAGAAATTTTAAAACCAACTTTAAGCATTTCAGAAAAATTTCGAACTTTCTTACGCGGTTTTTTTAAAACTCGGCGCGGTTGAGTTAACAAGACTTAAAAGATTAGAGCTTTAATTGTTTTTTAATTTTTAATGCAATAGATTTATTAACATTTAAAATTAGAAATTAATCTTCAAAATAAATGAATAAACCAGATTCTTAACTTTTTGTAGATTAAAGAACAGACAACGTCAAATAGACGTTTATAGTACTTAGAGTATACTCTAACTCTGAGCGTCTAGTTAACTGTCTGGGTACTTGGTCAGAGTAGACAGCGTCAACAAGGCAGTGATAAGAAGTCGTTAATCAGGTACAAATACACACTAGCCTCTCTTTTAAAGATACCATTATAAAAATATTATTTATAACTTTTTATATTCTTAATCTTCAAAATCATAACGATAATAGTAAACATGTAAATTAAAAAAGTGACGGGGTGGATTAGATAAATGAAGTATTTTATTAAGCGCATAACAGCGAGACAAGAGGTTAGAAACGATGTAATCGTTTTGACACTTCATGAATATAAAAATTGTGTTTAACAGTAACTATGAGATTAATCTCATAGTTACTGTTAAACACAATTTTTATATTCATGAAGTGTCAATCGTTTTGACACTTCATGAATATAATATCATCTCATAGTTACTGTTAAACACAATTTTTATATTCATGAAGTGTAATCGTTTTGACACTTCATGAATATAAAAATTGTGTTTAACAGTAACTATGAGATTAATATGAGATGTCAAAACGATTACACTTCATGAATATAAAAATATAGATAAAAAGATGATATTATATTATGAGATGATATTATATTCATGAAGTGTCAAAACGAATGACTTTTCATGAATATAAAAATTGTGTTTAACAGTAACTATGAGATTAATCTCATAGTTACTGTTAAACACAATTTTTATATTCATGAAGTGTCAAAACGATTAAAATTTTAAAATAACGAAATTAATTTTAAAAAAGCGAAGTTAATTTATGCCAATAAAAAACGCATTAATCGATTAATGCGTTTTTTATTGGCATAAATTAACTTCCTTATTTATTGGCATAAATTAACTTCGCTATTTTAAAATTAACTTCGTTATTTTATCTTAAATGACGTCTCAATTTATTAAAATATTACATCAGATAAATATTGACAGCAAATGATAGTACTTAACCCCTATGGGATGTTTCAGTTTCGAGTTATAAGATGTAAGTTTCGAAAATGTGTTTAACTATATTTTTACTTTAGTATTATAGTAATGTAATAATTTTGTTTGCGTCTAGAAATCTAGAAATTAAAACTAGAAAAAAAAGTTTAAATTTATTTTGAATAAAAAGACTCTAAGTTTTTTGAACAAAAAGACTCTAAGTGCAGCCAGTGGCGTTTTTTTTTTTTTTTTTTTTGAGGAGGTGGGGAGGCATGGGGTAGTAGCCCCCCCCCTCCTTTAGAACTTTTTTAGAAATATACTCTTTTTTAAAACGATTATTAGACAGAATTGGACTATTATACTGACGAATGACTATTATACGTAATTATACGTATATAAATTTGATTAAAAATTTAAAAAGAAAACTACTTATAAATGAAGATATGTGGTCCTTTTTCATTTTCTTTTTTTTTAAAGACCTTTTTAGTCCCCTCTTTGGCGAGTGATAAAACCCGGTCATTTGGTGCGGTCAACGACAAAATAATAATATTAAGATTTTTAATGCTGTGAAATAAAACTTGCTTATTTTTTTAAATCAATAATAACTCGTCACACGCAATCAAAATGTTGTGGCTTTTTTAATCCCAATAGTCACATAAAAAATCACACTCAAAGCCGTGTCCACGTCAAACCAGGAAATAGGTGTTTCTCATATTTATCGAGTAAATTTATTCCAAAACTTAGTATTTATGTTTCAATCGCAAAATGATTTGCTCCGCAAATACTTGGAAAATTAATTTTCCATGATTGATTACAAATACCCAACTTTTACTTAAATCTTGTTTCGAGGACCACGACAACGAAATCTAATCCTTAATGAGGAAATAAAAAAAATGACATCACTAAATTCTTTTAAAGCGGCAGTCAAACAGTACTTATTTGACTTAACTGACGCCAACATATTCTCATAACATCATTTTTCAACATAAAACTAATATAATCTTAGTAATGAAAACGTTGTATGGTGGTGGTTGTTGTTCCTTATATCAAACTGGTATTTAAAATTAAGTTAACTCATTATTCAAAAAGTAAACCAAATATCTTATTTTAAACGTATAAAACAACTTCTACATGTGTAACAAATAAATAATATCTTGAATTAAAAGATAATATATTTTTTTATAGTTTTTTTTTCAATATACTTTCTTATATAAAGATTTAATATTTTATTTATAACATAAATACATGTGCAGTTAAACACTCTTATCATAATTGTATGTTTACATTTAGTTAAAAAAACAAATACATGTGCTGTTTTAATATTACGCAACCTATAAAGCACAAAAATTTAAGTTTCAAAATTTTTGTATATTTAATTTAAATGTTGCATGATATTTATTTTGTGCTTGAAGGTTGTTGAAAAATATTTTTTTAAACTAGACGAGTTCGAATTAATTTATTCAAAAATTGTTAATTTAATTGATCTTGAAAGTTAACTTAATTAACCATCTCTGCAGATTCCATAAACCAAAGCTTTTTTTTTGTTTTTTGTTATTTCCAAAAGTATTTTTATCCTAAATCATTTTTTAAGTAGTTTAAATTATTTTAAGAAAGTTTTTTTTTATTCAGTATGCATTTCATATGAAAATATGAAAATATTTTTTTTTGTCTTTTTCTCAAAAGAAATTTGAATCTGTTATATAAATAAACAACAAAAAAAAAGTTGTTTTAAAAACGTTTTTAATAATTTAAGAGGTTACAAGTAAAAAATTAAAAATATTGTTTTATAAAGTATTTTGTAACTATAGTTTAATTTTAAAAACATAAAAACACTAAATAATTAATTTTTGTTGGATATAAATGCTTTTTTAAAGTTTTTAAACATGCATTTTAATAAATTTGGATTGCATAATGCATTGAATTGCATAAATAACCATATATATATATATATATATATATATATATATATATATATATATATATATATATATATATATATATATATATATATATATATATATATATATATATATATATATATATATATATATATATATATATATATATATATATATATATATATATATATATATATATATATATATATATATATATATATATATATATATATTATATATATTGTAAAAAATTGTTAATGCTTAATTTTAGGATTTGTCACATGGATTTATCATCCTTTACTGATGAGGATGTTGAAAAAATTCTTCTTGACCAAGCAACAAACATATTTCATAGATGTGACATTGATAAAAAAAACTATGTAACCCTTCATGATTTGCATTCTTTGTCTATAGATTTTGCATTGCCAGAAGAAGTTATTAATGAAGCTTTTAGTCATTTAGATACCAAAAAAGTTGGTTTCTTAACTCTGGATGAGTTTATATATGGTTTTGGATGTTTTTTGGGGATAGAAGATGTTGCTACTGATTATACTGCAAATGAATGCACAATAGATGAAGAATCAAACTTTAAAGCTCAGGAACTTTTTCAAATGTGTGATCAAAACAATAAAGGTTATGTTACAAAGTATGACTTAAATGCACTCACTTCAGAACTAGGGCTGACAGACAAACAAATTTCTGATATATTTATGCAACTAGATCAAGATGGGAATGGTTTTATAACATTAAGCGAGTTTAAACAAGGTTTTATTTCAATAGTAGATAAAAGTATTTCTAAAAGTGCAATACTTGATATGGATGTTGATAATTCCAATATATCTAGTAATAAAGTAAAATATTTAAAAGTTGAAAATAATCATGAAATTGAAATGAAAAATGAGAAATTTTTTACTGAGCGTCAGAAAAGTGTTCAATATGAGTCAGAAGTAAATGGAATTGATGAGATGTTATGCTGTTTAGAAGAACAAGTTGGGAGGTACTAGAGCTCTTTTAATTTAAGTTAAATATAAATTTTTAATTATTTATATTAATGTATATTAACATTATTTAAGGTTTTAAATAATTTTAATATACCTACTTTTAAATTTATTTTAAATTAAATGTGTTTTGAATATTTAATTAAAATTAAATAAATTTTAAATATTAGATATAAATTATTAAATTTTAAGTTAATTTATGTAAATTTATTTTAACTTTTTTATCATGTTAAATATTAAGTAAAATTGCTTAAAAGAATGAATGAATTTTTAAAAGTCTATTATAAAAACAAAATATTCTTCTTTGCTTCATCACTTAAAATATTTTATAATCTAGACAAGTTTTATTTAAATAAATTTTTGCAACAAATGCTTGCAATTTTTATTTATACTATTATAATAAGGCCACCAATATATTTTAACTTTTTTTTGATTATAGTAATTAATATTTTTAATGAGGACTTTTTCTCAGCTCAATATCAAAAGATCAACTGTTGAGGTTATGGAATTCTGTTTCAAGTTCAGGTGATATGATGCTTACAAAAATGTTTGAGACATTTCTTTTGAAAGTTCACAATGAAATAAAATCTGCAAAAAAGGAGGCAAAATATTTAGAAGATGTTCTTGAAAAGTTTGTACTATTATTCTTTTAAATTTTTTACCCTTTATTTTTTTTTCTTTAATTTTTCTAGTTAAAGCCAATAATTTAGATTAACACTTTTTTTTATAGTTGTCAAGATAAGAATACCCATAATAGCCGTATATATAGCTTTATTTAAAGCTATTTTTAGTTACAAACAACTAAAGTTGTTTACAAATTTTTATAAATCTGAAATATTTTGTTTTGTTTTTTCAACAGAAAGTCTGCATACCATTCAGAAGAAATAAGTAGAATCTGTGATGAAATGGAGGCACAGCTGCAATTAGAAAGATCAAAACTAATGCAAAAGGTATTGTTACAAATACGAGTTAAGATCTGCTTCTTTATTTTCTTTCAATTTAAAATCTAAAACCCCAAAATTAAAAACTAACACACTAAGATTTAAAAGATGGTTATGTATCTGAGATATTTTAAACTATGAAAGCTAAGAACTGATTATCTGATATCTTTTTTTTTTTATTTAAGATCACAATTTTATATAACTTAAGTTTGCTGGAAGATAAATTTGGTAGGGGTTTGGCGGATATATTCATGTTATTTATTAATTACTTTTTTTTTTAATTTAAAAATTATACTTAGCTTTAGGTTTCTACCTGGTCAAATTTTGGGTTATTATAAAGATAAAAATTTCAGCAATGTCAATTTAAACCTGGTCAAGAAAATCAAAAAAATTTTATAAAGAATGTTTTTAATGAAGTTCCATATGCATATTAATCATTTTAAAAATTAAAATCTTTTTTTTATGCAATAGGATTAGAACTTTATTATTATGCAAAAAGCAACATATTCCATTTAATAAAAGGTTTTTATTAAAAAAAAAGTTATGTTTAAAAAGGAAATTTAGTTCTTATAAAAAGTAGCATAACACAAGTATTTTTTAAAAGTTTTTATTTATTGTTGTTGTTGTTTCATTTCCATCAAGGCTACAAGTTGCTACAGATTTTTTAAAGTAAATAGAGTTAAAGAGTAAAAAAGAAGACTTAAAAAGCTGAAAGTTGCTAGTAAAACATAATGGTAGGAGATAATTCTAAAGCATTGGTGGAAAAATAAAAGAACAGTTATAGTAAAATGATGCTGCTTTGCTGAATGTGGTGCGCGTGTGTGTGTGTGTGTGTGTGTGTGTGTGTGTGCAACTATAGTATTATTTGCAGAAAAGAAAAAAAGATGAACCATACCCATAACCATGAGGTTATATGGTATATCCTTATGGTAAAAAATTTTTTTTATAATTAAAATCAGCTACTGGGAGCCTCAAGATCTATTAAAAGAGAGCTCATATTCAAGATTGACTGCCTTTTCTGCAATTTGCAAAGAACTATTTTGAGAGTAAGATTTTTAGGAAAATCATTAACATAAATCAGAAACAACACAGGATTAAAGATTGAATCTTGTGGTACCCTTTGAGCTTACTGGAATTGAAGAAGAGTGTTGTCCATCAAGGACAACTTTTATAATACAATTAGAAATGATTCTAAAGTTTTTAAAACTTTTCTAGACACACAATATAAAGAAAGCTTAGGAAAAATCCAGCATGCAAGACTTTATCAAAAGCTTGTGATATCTCAAGATCATTAGCCATTGACTCACTGCTTTTATTTAGTGTATTATAGAACTTTTTTTTAGAGGCACAGTACACAACCTCATTAGTAAATTTATCTGTTGAAAATTTTCTTTTATGTTACTAATCTGTTATCTGCACAAATTATTTGCAGATAATCAATAAACATTGTTTCCACATTACTAATATTGCTGAGTTTTTTTACTATCTTTATTTTATGATTGGTAATCTTGAGGGTGATGGATATTTTTTTAGATATTATTCTGCAAACTATTACACTTTTAAACTATTTGAATCTAATAGCATTACAAGAAAGTTGTTGACATTTAGTCTAATTGTTGATGTTTAAATTATTGTAGGAAACTATGAAGGAACTACAAATCCGTGAGGATTTACAGCAAGAGTTAGTTGAGAAAGAAAAACATATTGAAAAATGTATGCAAAGACAAATTGCTGTAAGTTTTATTTCTGGTATATTGGCTGTGTGTTCTTTTATGTAATTAATTAGGCTGTGTGTTCTTTTATGTAATTTATTAGGCTGTGTGTTCTTTTGTGTAATTTATTCCAACTCAATCAATTTAAAAAAAGAACAATTTATTTATTTAAGCTTGAAAAGAGATTGCAAGAAGTAAAAGATAAAGAACAGTATCTTAAACAACAAAATATTGAACTTTTAAAGGTAAATTAGCTTTTATATCTTGTTTTACTATGATTTTTAAAAGCAATTTTATTAAAAAATTTCATTTTTATTGTGATTTTTTAGGAAAACAATGAACTAGAAGATAAACTAAATAACTCAATAACAAGCTTTGAAGTACTTAAATCTAATTTGTTACACCTTGAAGAACAAACTTCACTTGAAAAAAAAGAAACTCTGAGGTAATAAATAAATTTATAGATATTTTAAAATATTTCCAAGCGCACAGATGTGTTAAGACAAGTAGTCATCCTAAAGACATCCTTAGGACTTTGGACATCCTTAGTTGTCTTAAGGATGTCCTAAGTAGCCTTGATTTTCAAGACTTGTGGTTCAGAGCTAAAGAGTTGAGAGAATGATGTAACAGTTGTTATAAAAAAGTAGTAAAAAAGTGACTGTAGTGAGTCACAGTCAAGAAGACTGAGATCCAATAGGCTCTGATGTAAGTCTGAGCCTCCCATGGGCTTCTGATGTAAGTCTTCTGAGATAAGTCTCTCATGGGCTTCTGACGTAGTGAATGTAAATGTACAAAATGAATTATTAAATTTTTAAAAATTAACTTTAAAAACATTGGTTTACAAGATGTTTTTAAGTTTTCCAAAACGATAGAAAGACTTGATCTAAAAAAAAGAAGTTTTTTAACAGAAAGATATATATATATATATATATATATATATATATATATATATATATATATATATATATATATATATATATATATATATATATATATATATATATATATATATATATATATATATATATATATATATATATATGTAATATTATACTTTAATGCTAGTTTTATTACATTTCTTGACTTTTTTTTTACCATAAAATTTTCTTTTACTTACCATGAAAAGACCTGTAACCAAAGTAAAACAAGGAAAAGTTTGAGATTTTTGTCAAAAATTAAAAAAAAAATAATTTAATATACAATAATAATAAAAATAATTTATATATGTAATAATATGAAAACTAATTATTTATATATTCTAGGCATGATTATAATTTAGATATAATTTATAATTATATCTAGATTACTAGTATAATATACAGTTTTTTTAGATATATATTCAACTTTTTAGTGAGCTGATTTTTGAATAAAAAAACAATTTTTTGACTTTATTAGTTAAAATATTTATTGACTAAAAAAAAACTTTAAATGTGGCATTGCAATTGTTTTTAGAGCAGCATTACGAGCAACACAAGGAATGTCTTATGAGCATGAGGATTTAATACGAAGGCTCGATGCATTAAGGTGTTTTTTTGTGTTCTACTTGTAATTTTTGTTTTTAATTGTTCAGTAATAAATATGTTGTTAGGAATTTTCTCACTTTTTTTTTTTTTTTTTTTTTTTTTTTTTAAATTCATTAAACTTTACTTTTTTTCAAAAGCAGAACTTATGCATATTTGTCATAATAGATGTTGTTTTAACTTATTAGGTAATTATTATTAATAATCATAACTTACTCATCTTTTTCACAAAGAAGAGCTTTAAAATCTTTCTCACGAGAAGAGCTTAAATATCTTTCTCACAAGAAGAGCTTTAATATATTTCTCACAAGAGGAGTATTTGGTTATCTTGACTTATTTTAACTTTTATATTGTGATTGTGGTGTAGTGGTAGAGTTCTATTTTTGTAAGCAAGATGCACACAAATGTATCATGAATTTTGAAATATCATACTCAAATTATTTTTTTGCACAACAGTTTTATTCATAGAGTTTTTTGTCATAGAATTATGGGGTTAGAAAGGGGTTGAAAAAAAAGATGAGTAGCCTCCTCAATAACCCCTCCCCCAAATATATTTAAACAAAAACAAAAACATTTTAATTTTTATGCAACATAGCATATTAATTTTATCTAGTGAGAGTAGTTATCATTATAGCTATTACTGCTATTATAATGTTATTATATATTTTTTAATAATATAATATATTATTAGACATAATATATTTTTAGTGTTGTTATTAGTTTTGATGCTTGTGTTTTTGCACTTGCACATTAACACATTTATTATGATTTCATTCTAGTGTTGTTATTAACTTCAACTAGATTGACTAAAAGTATAAAAATGAGTCACGGCCAAAATGAGTCGACTTTAAAAAGTCAAATAGTGGATTTATTTTACTATGGACCTACTGATCAACTAAAAGTCAATTTAGACAAGTAAAATTCTTAAAATTCATTCATTGTATTCATTCAATTTAACTTTTCAATCTTTAGTTTTTGTTCATTTTTTTAATGACAATAGCATGTAATTTGTCTAATTCATAGCATGTTAGCACTTATTATACCTAATTAAACTTTTGGTTATGTATTTCATGAATTTTTTTCTTCTTTTGTTTACTAGATGCTTGCGGTTTTCATTAATACTCATTCAAGGCCATTTCAACTGGCTTAAGGACCTAGGGACTAAAATTAAGTTGTGAAGCTCCGAATTCTAAATGTCATCTATACATTCACATTGTAAATGTGATTGTATAGAGTTTTTATTATATGTAGTAAGTATTTAAGGTGGTCTCTAAATCATTGGGTTCTGGGAATAAATTATCTCTTTGTTGGAGCTTTTCTGATATTGTTATGCTCCATTATAATTTAAATGGTATAATGTTAAGAAATAAAAAACAAATTTAAATTATTTTTTTATTTTTGTTGAACTTTATTTCAAAAAAAAAATTATTCTTATATTTTGACTAAATCAGCTTTAAGTCAACTTAGTTGATTTACTAGTGACAGTGAGTATTATCACTCTATGACAGCTGCTTGATTGCTACTCATCCAGCATTCAAGATCTGTTTCAAAATTGTTAACTAATTCTGTGTAAACTAAGTTTAAGTTATAACAATTAATAGTAATAATAATATAATAAATAGTTATAATAATTAATTAATGATAATAATAATAATAATAATAATAATAATAATAATAATAATAATAATAATAATAATAATAATAATAATAATAGCAATAATAGTAATAATAATAATAATAATAATAATAATAATAATAATAATAATAATAATAATAGTATTAAGAAGAACAACAAACACAACAACAAGTAACATCAACAAAATTTAATAATAACAAAAAAAAAAACTTTAAAAAATAATTTAAGATTTATGACATTAATACTAGTTCATTTTTTTGAATTAATAATTTGTGTACTTTTTTTATGATATATTTTTTTATTCTCTCAATAGGAAAATGAATCAAAAGCTAAGAGATGATCGTGATGCAATTGAAGCAACTCTGAAAACTGTAGGTGATATATTACTAATGGTCACACTAAGTAAATATTGAACAAATATTGTTGCTGCATCATTATTTAGATAATATTTTTTCAACCATCATTGAACTTGAAATAATCGCAAAAGTAGTTTGCTGAAAAACCCAGAACTCCTAAGAAAATATTAAACATAATGCATTAATACCATGCTGTGCTGTATATACAGTGCTAATACAAGCTCATTTTAATTTTTAAATATTTAAAACTTAATTTAAGTACTTATTTTAAAAATTAAAGTCAACAAAATATATTATTTCCACACATACCTAATTCAGCACTAGTTTATTCAGTATTATATCATCAATCTGATAGCATCATCATCATATAAATTATACTGAGGAGAAGTACTAAATAGAAGCAGAGGGTAAATGTCTATTTGGGTATGTTAGTACTTAACTCCAAAAAAAAAGTAACAAGAAAAAAAAATTGCATTATTTTTTGTTTTATTTTATTTCAAACGATGTTTACATTTAAGATCAGCTTTTTAAAAGTTTAGGTGGGCAGAATATATTAGTATATTGAATCAGCCTAAAAGAAAAATAGAAAAATTTTTTTATATAGAAATTTTGTATAAATAGAAAATAGCAGTACAGTGCATAAGTTTTGAACATTTGCATGCATTTGCATATTCAAGTTGCATACATTTAAAGATCCAACGTATACACATATAAGTTGTTTTATAAATAAATAAATAAATCATTCAAACATGAATAAATTTTTTAAACTTACATGTATATTGATTAATTTGAACTTTAAAAGTTCCTATTTTATGTCCACCTTTTTGTAAATCTTTTAAGACTGTTTTAAAACTGTTCTATGCTGATGAATATCTTTTTTTTATGAGTATGTCAGGAGTTTTTAATCGCTCTACAAATAGTGTTTAATATATTCTAATAAATAATTATTAATTTTAATTTTTAACCATTTATTAAAATAACTATATCTATATAATAACTATAATATATAATATTTTTATGATATGTAATATCTATGTAATATCTATGTACTGTATGATGACTATATATAATGTATAATATTTTTATAATATGTATTATCTATATAATAACTGTATAATATATATTATATATATAATGTATAATATTAGATATTAGATCTTATATAGTATATAGTGTATATAAATATGTATAGTGTTTTATTCTTAAACCATTCGCTCAGGTTCTCAAGTTATTGATTAACAGTGTTAAATAATAGGTTTATGTTTGTGTGGCTAAAGAATAGTATTATTTGATAACCTATTTAGAATTATCTTTATATTGGTATTATCTTTATGTTAAGGTAAGATTTGTTAGAACAAGAATACATATTCTAAGAATCTATTCCACTCAAGGTTCATAAGGAGTTCTTTCTTTCTTAACTATGTTGAAGTTTGGTATTTAAAGATAAAACTTTATATTATTTTGGGGGCAAGTGATATGCAATTGTAGTTATTTTTTTATGATATAAAGTGATATAAAACTTTGGTTCAAAATTTTTATAAACATTTATAAGTAAAAAAAAAATTATTAATTATTATAAATATTGTTAGTTTATAAATATTACTTTACAAAATAATGTAGTAAAATGTGACAGTTTAAATTTGCACTATATTTATCAGAATGATTTGATGTCATTTTTAAAATTAAAAGAAGTTTGATCACATTATTAGAATATAGAGTTGATTATAATCAATAACCATACCAAAATAAGATCTATGTTTGACATCAATATTAACACAGGTTTTATAGTATGTATTTCTGTAGTATCTACATACACAGTATCTCTATTAATTATTTTTTTTTAATATTATAAAGTATTTATTATTTTTATTACTATTGTTGTTATTATTATTGTTATTAAAATTGTTATTATTTAATAGTTCTTATAAAATTTGATATTCAAATACATGTTTATATCAAAAAAATATAGATGAAAAGATTTAAAAAAATTTTTTTTAATACCTAAACAATATTTTAAACAAGTTTTTAAACTTTGATGTATTTTAGATTTTTAGTAATTTAAAATTGATAATTATTTAAAATGATTGTTATTATAAAAAAATCTGTTTTCATGCAGAATGTTGCATTACCAGAATTGTCGCCAATTTTAGAGCAAAAATCACATATGGAAAAAAAAAAATTTTCAAGGTCAATTAATCTTATAATTTTTAGATTTAAATTACTTTATATATAATTTTACAAAAGAAACTTTTTTAATTCACAAAAAAAAATCTTTTTTATTTTTTATCTTTAAATTTAAAACTAATTTTTTTTTAGAATGACTTCATCCCCATCTCATAAACCTTTAACAAAACAAGGATCAGTGATGTCGGCGTATTTTGATTCAAAGTATGTATTAGTAAATAATAATTTTAATCCATATTATTTAGTCTTTGTTTTGCATTAACCATACTAAAATTTTTATTACTTAGGAGTGACATATGTAATCCAGATAATGAGCAGTCACTAGACTTTAGTAGTCGCACTTTTTCGTCAAGCAATGAAAAGCTCAATTTTGGTAAACCAGATTTGATTGAGACTGAAGGTTAATATTTTTTAGTTAATTTTTATTATTCTTAATATTTTATGTCTATTAAATTTATAATAGTAAAAGATTTAAAAAGGAAGTTAAAATAAAAATAAAAACTAAAAAAAAGATTGAATATGATTTAAAAATATATAATAAGTTATAATTTATTTCAAATAGTTAGTGTTATTATTATTTTAGTTTGTATTATATTTTAAAAACTTAATTCTTAAAAACTAGTTTTATTAAAACATTATTTTTCTTTTTTGTTTTCTTTTCTTGCATTCTAAACAATTTATATTTAGTTAACATATTTGTCTTGATTTTGAATTTTACCAATTAGTACTATTGTCATCATTTAGTGAAGCATATTGCAGACCATTTAGGTTTGCATGATGCATATAAATATATTCTATCATCACTCCAGATATTCTAGATTAGTAAATGTTATTAGTAGATAGTTTAATGTTTTTTCTATTTATTTTTTTTATCAATTTATCCAAACTGTTTAAATTTAATAATATAATGTAATAGTAAGAAAATTCTATAAATTTTGGTTTATTCTAATAAATATTTGCTTTCATCAAAATTTCTTTAAAAACATTCACACCCTATCGCTTTGACTAATTTATTATTAACAGAAACTGATTTTGAATGTGAAGACATATCAAAAGCACATCTAGATCAGCCTCCAATATTTAGTACTCCAAAATCTCCTCGTTTGCCACCTGTTGGAAGTAATAGTGAAGATGACCCTGAGGTAATTTTTATAAGGTATGAAATATATAAATAATCGTTGTTATAGTAACTTATGATTAATGGTTTTTAAACTTTAAATCATTGATTGGTTAATCATTGATGGTTAGCTAATAATAACTTTTATAATTCTTATGATTATTGTTATTTAATATTTATAATTAAGTTTTTATAAATAGATATCTTTAACTATGCTAAAACATCCGCCAGAAAATCCGAATCGTGTGTATAAAATTGTTTTTGTTGGCGACAGTGGTGTTGGTAAAAGTAGCTTTATCTACCGTTTCTGCCACAATGATTTTCGTCCAAATTTTAGTGCAACAATTGGTGTAGACTTTCAAGTAAAGACTTTAGAAATTTGCAATAACTGGATTGCACTTCAACTTTGGGACACTGCTGGTCAAGAAAGGTCTAAATAATTATTTGTCTTTCTGATTTTTTTTTTCTATTTCCAATCTTTTGAAATTTTAACACATACTTAATACAAATTTAATAGGTTTCAAAGTTTGACTAAGCAATACTTTAGACGTGCAGATGGAATAATAATAATGTTTGATTTGACATCAGAGACTTCATTCACTAATGTGAAAGGGTGGATGCTCAGTGTTGAGGTATTAATTTATAAGCTGTTTGTTGAGCTGCTCTTAAAAAAAGAAAAACACATAAAAAAAATTATATACAGTAATATTGTTTAGTTACAAAAAGTTTTAGGAATAAAATAGTTTTTATAGTAGATCTTTTTACATGTATTTCCAAAGTATAAGTAGGGTAAAACATTTGCCAGTGTTGTTTTTAAAAATAATTTTAAATAGTTCTCATGTTTATTTCTTTCCTAGACTGTTCTCTTATGATCACAAACATATTATAAGTTAAACAAGTTTAAATAAATGTAGTGGCATGTAATAAATAAACATAAATATGCATAGTTGCTTTATACAGTATAAACTTTTATGATAATATATATTATATTGTTATACAAGTTTAATCATTAAATTGCAACCATTAATTTAATAAGTTAATGGTTTCAATTTTTTCTTTCAATTTTTTTTTATGATTACTTTTTTTTCCTGATACACTTTTAAAGCAAGTCAATTGTTTTTATAGTAGATAGAAGGTCTTCGCAAATGGCGGTCGCGTTTTTTTAACCGTTAAAAAAGCTAAAGTAAAGATAAAGAATAAAATTAAACTCAAATCAAAAGATAAATTTTGTTTTTAAAAAAGTCACCAATAAATCATAATCAAGCTCTTATGAATTAATTTAAAACAAACAGTTAAATCAAGAGAAAAAATTTACAAAAAGATAAACAGAATTTCGAAATTAATAAAATAACATTAAAAAAAAAAAAAAGAAAGAAAGAAAAAACTTAACAAATAAAAAGAAACAAAAAAAGGAAAAATAAAGAAATTTACAAATGAAGAAAAAGAAGATAAGAGGTTGTTTTATGCTTATTTTTTAACAATTTAGTTTGTAATATTTAAATTTGTAACGGATTTAATTTTATTTTATTTTGTAGAAGTATTTGTGTTTGCCTTTTCGTTTTGTATTCTTTGGGTTTCATCTTGTAGTTTTTGTATTTTGCCTTTTCGTTTGTGTAAGGTTTGTTTTTTATTTGTTCTGTTTTGCTAATTATTTTTATTTTTGTCTGCTGTTGTTATTGAGTGTATTCATATTTGTTGTCTTATTATTTAACTTATTTTAGCTTTATCGTTGCTATTATTATTTTATTTATTTTCTTAGCCATTTTCGGTTCATATTTGTTATTTTTATTATTATTTTATTATTATACTACTTGTTATAATTAATTGGTGTCACTCATTTTGATCTTGAGTGACACTCATGTCATCATATTATTTGTATTATTATAGATAATATTATTATTTTTAATTATTAATGTTATAATTATTTGGTGTCACTCCTTTGATCAGGCTTCTGTTTATGTGACACCTTCCTTTTCTAATAATTATTTATATTTATTCTTATTAGTTATATTTTATTATAATTATATTGCTTGTATTATAGATATTATTATTAATTATTGTTATTATATGATTATATATAAATTTTGAAAAGGAAAATAAATATCTTGTTGTTGTTGTTGTTGTTGTTGTTGTAATTAAATAGGAGATATGTTTGTTGGAGGATTAATCAATAACCATATATATTTCCGAAAAAGATTTGTCCCTAATCTGTTAAATTATTAAATTATTTTTAAGGCATTTTCTTATAAATTTTAATTTGTAAATGGGAGTAAACTTTTGCCATTCTAAACTGTTTATTAATGGAAAAAATACAGTTATGGACTTGTGTGATGTTGGAGATTGGAATTATATCTAGTTATAAACTAAAACAATATAAAATAATATTAATTTTATTAAGACTAATAATAATAGAATATTTACATTAAAATATAAATATTAAAAGGAAAATACTACACAAATATTATTTATGTTTTGTCATAATTCTGTAATTGTCATTGGTCTTGTCTTTTAAGTCTCACTTTCATGTCATTGTTATCCAAAGTTGTTATTTAAAATATAAAATAAAGTTGTTTAAAAGCTGATATATTAGTACAAGTAATAATATTAATTTAATAACAATATTTTAATGGCAATATAATAATTTAATGACAACAGGCTAATAACAGGTTAAAGTCAGCAATGTCAATAATTTAGAAAATAAATAGTATTGAAAATTTTTTATATTAATTTAATATAAATATAACAAAGTAAATAAATTTTGAACAGTTTTGAATAATATTAAATACTTATTTAAGTATTCTATAGTGAAAGTGCTTTTTTTGTTTCAAATGTGGTTTTTATGATTTTTTTTAGGAAGGAGCTGAACCAGATTGTGTCATTGCTCTAATAGGTAGCAAATCTGACATGGTTGTTGGAGAGAATAATAATCAGAGAAAAGTAAATAAAGAGGCTGCAGAAAAAATTGCAAAAGTATTTCTTAAACTATATTATATACATTTAGTTGGATCCGGATCTTACTAGGGTTTTCAGGATTTTATCTGAATCTAAATCCAGATCCAATTTTTAATTTAAAACAAATAAATTATTACATACAAAGGAACTCTAAAACTACAGTTTAATGCAGTGCCGTAGGAAGGTTTTTAAAGTTTGAAATAACCAACTTTTAAACAAAAAGAATATTCTAATTTTTTTTACGTTCATATGCATGAAGAAAAGATTCTCGACAAAAAAAAATTACAGTGATAGGAGAATGGAAACAAAAAACCCTAAAATCTTGCCCACCCCCTACCCTAAACTTGAGGGCAATAAGTTGAATTATTTATTTTTTCATAAATATAAACTAGTTATGCATTCATCAACAGATTTCAAATTTTATGTTTAAATTATTCAGTGTTCACTTTTTATGACCATGTAAAGTTTGTGGTACCGTCAAATTGAGGTGGGTTATTCTTTACATGGTCATAAAAATTGAAGACTGTATAATTTAAACATTTAATTTGAAATCTATTGATGAATACATAACTAGTTTATATTTATAAAAAAATAAATAATTCAATTCATTGCCCTCTCGTTAAGGATAGGGGAGGCTAAGATTTTAGGGTTTCTTGTTCCCATTCTCCTATCACAAAAATTTTTTTTTTGGGAAGAATCTTTACAGCATACTTTTGAATACACAAAAATTTGGAATATTCTTTTTGAATAAAAGTTGGTTATTTCATACATTAAAAAATCTTCCTACGCCACTGGTTTAATGTGTGAAATGATTTCTTTATTTTTATATCATATTAGCAAACTTATATTAGTTTCACTTTTTAGCATTTTTGTTGTAATTTTTTAAAAAGCATTAAGTATCAATAGTGTTATCATTTAACCCTTTTCAAAGTTTTGTTAAAAACAATGCACAGGCACTAAAAGCTTTTACACTCTAAACTGATGTTCGTTGGATAGATTTTAAACACTCTTAACTAATGTTTATTGGATTTTAAAATAGTCTTTAATTTAGAAGTTCTTTTTTTTTTTTTTTTGTAAAATCAAAGATGCAAAATTCTATTGAGTGGTTGTATATTGATATCTTCATTAATTATTTTTTTAGCTCAACACTTTGTAAAGCTTTTTATAGCTTTATTTTGATATCAAAGTTTTCTACTACTGGGTTTTTAAAATCAATTTAACTAAATTCTGTGCTATCTTATACTTTTTTTTTTAAATCTTTACTTCCAACAAGGCTGCAAGCAACCACTATTAGATTTGGAAGTTACTGGAAGAAAAAACATGAAGTTTATAGAGCAAGATAATGATTGACAAACGACTTAAAAGATTGCAAATTATATCAATCATGAAAACAAGATGAAGGAAGCGAATTCTAAAAAAGATGATGTTCAAGGGAAAAAAACTAGACGAATAAGAATTTTTGGAGCACTTAGGAACAGTTGCAATAAAAGGATGAGACTTGATTGAATGGCGAGTAACATGAGAATTAATTTTAGTAGATGGCACAAGAGAGTTTGGCTGCAAGAACAGGTTTAACTATGTTTACAATGCGTTTTTGCACCTTTTCTAAAAGATAAAGGGCAAAAACATTATTGGATCTGCCCCAGATATAACAACAATATTCCATACAAGGACAGACTTGAGATTTATAAAGATAAAGAAAAGAATCCCGAGTAAAAAAGTAGCGAGTACCATAAAGAGATGCAACCTTATCAGATTACAATACAATTATTTGAGGTAAAAGAACTTTAGCTAACAACATTATTGCTGTTTTTTTTAGTTTTACTCCAAAAGCATCTAAGGTGCTAGATAATCGATAACTAGGTCTACTTTAGTGTTCCATAATTAAATTCTTAAATGAAGATTCTTGTTTTTAAAGCTTGATGTGATTCTTTACTTATAAGATTGAATTTAACTTAAAACAAAACTAAATAATTATCTGCTTGAAATAAGTTTTTAACAGTGGGGGTGTATGGACAGTTGGGGTGTACCTGAATTTTGTTAATAAAATTCCAGCCAAAACAAGAATTATGTTTGTTATTTTTTACCTTCAAGATTAGAGTAAAGGTCTGCACCTCAGTATCGTGGCTATATAATATATATTTATAACCTATAATATATATATAACCTAATTAATTAATTTGATACTTGTTTCATTTAAACTAATTTGTTGTTTTTATTTGTTTTGATAATTTTATTTATTTTTAAGAAAGTTTTAACCTGCATAATATTTATTCAAAATTATTGCTTTCTAATTTTCATTTAGGTCATTTCATTAAAATGAAATATTTACTGCAATAAGTATCCTGTATATTTTTAACTATTTAAATAACATTTAAAACCAGTTCTTAGAGCCAGGTAACATTTTTGATGAAAAGAAGTGCTAGTTTGTTGCCCAAAACTGGAGAGCTTTTTGCACCATAATATTTCTAAACTTCCTTTCATAATCAATTTATGCAAATAAAATTGCAGTGTTTGTTTAGAAATTTGTTTTTTTTACCTTGTTTACCTCTAGTTCTTCATTGTGCTATAAGATGATGATTTTTTGGTTTAATTTGCACAGTCTGTGTCACATGCCTTAAAAAATTAAAGGTAAAAGATAAGTTCCTGCATTTCAGCCTAAAATATTCTAATTCCGGCTGGAACCAGAATGAACTAAAAGTCACAAATTCCAGCCCAAATTCCAGTACATCCCTACTTAACAGTAAAATACTTCTACTCCATACTTTACATATTTAAAAGTTTTAAAGATTTTTCAGCTCTGAATCTTATATTGTTTTAATTAATCTTCAATATTAGATGATCTAACATTCAAGACTGCACTTCAGTATTCGTCATTTTTAAAACATTTGCTCAAAAAAAAAACGCTCAACCATATTAAGTAATGAGATCCTAAGTATCTTTCAGTCCAAAAAAGATCATGTCTGAATTTTGACTTTACATGCTTTTGCAATATTTTTTATATTTTAATGCAATAGTAAACTAATGCTAGAAAACTTGGCCTACAATCAAGAGGTTACAGATTTAAATCTACCCTACAATCAAGAGGTTACAGATTTAAATCTACCCTACACCTCTGGTTGTAGTACACCTTTTTTTTTGACCTTTTTTTGTGCTTCGAAGTTTAAGGTTGAGATTTTCAAATAAAATAAAGTAAAAAATTAATGAGTAGCTTCCTTTACTGTTTTAGCCCTCTTTTTGATTTAAATTTATTTCTTCTAAAGTATTTTGATGAAGGTAAAAAACTAGGTTTATAAAATTTTTTTGAGGATGGTGGAACAGTTAAGGTTAAAGGTTGTAACTTTGTTAAATGATGAGTCATGTAAGATTGAGTTTTAAGTAAAACAAAAGTTTTGTGTTAGAAAAAATTGAATTTTTGGGATTGAACAAGATTTGAGATGTTTGAGATGTACATCGCTTGAGAAGTGACCACAATAGTAGTTGTAGATAATAGAAAAAGAGGCAATCGTATGACAGGTTTAAATCTATGCCAGCCTATTGATGAAAAATGATTGCAAGACTGTTCTAGAAAGATTTTCTGCATACCCCTAAATTTTTAACCCAGGAAGTTTTGTACTAGACAGTAGCTGGATGTTAACATCTGCCCAAAACAAAATTTTTTTCAAGACAATATATCTAGTCTAAACTCAACCAAAAACCCCCAAGGCAGAGTGTATTTAAAGTTAGATATACAAGACAGCGAGACATCTGTCAGGTTATACTTGATTGTATGTTTCCAATAGCAGGGTGATCACAATTAAAAGTTAATAGTACCCACATAAAAAAATAGGTGTATTTAATCTGTCTAATATAGATTTCATCTATATTAGGCGGATGTATTTTGTTTACACCTTTTATTGGATATATATTTTTTTAAATGTAAATTCACCTCTACATGGCTGATAAGGCCACTACAGTCAAGGAAGCCTCTTTAGTTATGGTTACAACCCTATCAACTCTAATTTTAAAAAACAAAGAAAAAAATAAGTTAATATAGTTGATATGTTTCTTTTTTTTTTTTTTTTTATTTTAAAGTTATCTAAAAAGATTTTAAAAGTGCTAGTAAGAAGAAAAAATGAATAATTTTTTATTAATAAAATTACATAACTCTTATATTAATGATATTCTTTATAGAAAAAATAAGTGATACAGTGTGATGGATGATGGTTTGGAAATGTTTCTATTCTTAAGACTGGATTATACTCGCATATAATTATGATAATAATATAAAATCACATTTATGGATAATACTACAATATTACAAAAGTATTACCAATATATTGAAAAATGTTATGAAATACTTTTTAAGCAGTCTTGGTACAGTTGTTAGAGATTTTTGATTGATAGGTTATTGGTTTGGTTCCTGCTCCAGCCATGAAAGCCACTTTGTTGCATAAATGGTTGGTGGTTTGGTGGTTGGTTTGGTGCATAAATGGTTTAGTGCTTAGATTGCATAAATCATTTTCAAATTTTGGTTTTCTTGGTGTATTTTTTGAAGAAAAATAAATGCAATATTGTGACATGTTGATAAGTGTGAAAAATAGGATGTGTTAATGAGTGTGATAACAGTATTTGTTAATGTTGGCAGGAATTAATGGTGACAGATTATCTTCATATTCTAACTTGTGTTAGAATTTGATGAGTATGTAACAATTTACACAGAAGGTTAGCAAGAATCTTTTTTAAACTATTTTAGCTATATTTTTTTTGTTTAGGATTACAATGCATTGTATTTCGAAGTTAGCGCACGTTCGGGAGAAAACGTCAATGAAACTATTGTTGTCCTTGCAAAGTAAGCTTTTGATATAACTGTTCATAATTTTTATGCTAGCGTTAATAATGTTTATACTAATAATCAGTGACGGATCCAGGGAGATGTATGCATCCCCACCACCACCACCACCACCAGAATCTGAAAGTCCTAAAATATCTTAGAAATTAAGGACCTATTTTTTTTTAGGAGACGCAAATGTGGTACAAAATACAAAAATATTTCGACATCCACCCCTCCCCCACCAAAAATTCCTGGATCCGTTACTGCTAATATTAATTAATGGTCACATGCTATATATCGCATATTATTTTTTAAATATTCTTCAAATATTCAGAAGTTAATCTTAATTCTGTATTTAATTAATAATTAGTAATTAGCTTATAATTCTCTGAGTAGCTTCAGTTTTTATTCTGTGAATAGCTTCTGATGTTAATCTTTAACTTTTGTGTTTATTTTATAATGATTACATAAGTTTATTAGATGTTTGATAACTATTTAGCTATTGTTTTAAATGTATTTTTATGTACTTATATTTAAACTATTCGTTTGTATTAAGAAAAATGAAAGATAATGAAGATTCGATTTTACAAAACAGCATAATTTCACTAAATTCTAACAGAAATCTTCCATCTCTAAAAGATAAAAAAAAGAAAAACAATTGTTGCAAATAGCTTCAAGATTTTATAGAAGTTAAGTTTGTCGGAATTTTTTATATAACCAAATGGCTTTACTATGATTTTTATTTCTTAAATTTTGACTGTGATGAAGAGCTCCATGGGGAGCTCTTCAACACTGCTCTCTTATAAGGTAAACTCTTCTTCTTTTTTATATAAGGAAGGTCTTAAAGTAAGCGAAAATACATTTTTAGAGAAAGTTTTAGAAATTGCTAGTTTGATTTAAAATCTTCTTATTTGGGTATCCTTTTCTCTATTCCTTGTTTTTCTCTCACTATTTTTAATAGCTCTAATTTAGAATGTTTAAATTCGAATTTTGATATTACGTTATGAAATTTTGTAATTTAATTTTATTCGGCGTGCTTTTTATGGCATTTTTTAAAAATCTGTAAATTTAATATATTTATATTTTTGCGGGCTAAAAATATTTTTGTAAAATTGATAACTTTTTATAGAATTTACTCTGGAGAAGGTTAGTTGTTTTTTCAAAGCTTTCAAACGTATATTTTTGCTGCTGCTAATTTTTTTTTTTTTCTCAATTTGATATTGCATTATGAATTTCATATATCTGAATTACTTTTTTTAATGCAATTTTATTTTTTTAATTTTAATTTAGTTCTTTTTATTTTTATTTCTAATTTTTTTCCTGTTATAAAATTAAAAAAAAATTAGTTTAAAAAAATGAAAAATTATACAAATATAATGCATAATTATAATGTGCAAAATAAATCTATAATGTATTTTTACAGTTTGATGTATTTTATAGTTCCCAGCCTAAATACGACAACAGTATTCCATACAGGGACAAATAAAAGATTTATAGATGTAGACAATGGAATCAGGTGTAAGAAAATGGCAAGCACGATAAAGAAATAATGTTAGCGTATAATAACTTTGCAATAGATTAGGTTTCTATGACATTAGTAATGAAAGATAAAACGAGAGGTCGTAAAGGCGAGGTAACACTCAGTAAGAGTGTTGTCATTCATCAATAACAACAACATTGTAATAAATAATAGCAGTATGTAACTGAGACTTGATTGGGTAAAATTTACCTCAAGCTGCCACAGAAGAAGTGAACAGAATTGCCTCAAGCTGTCACAAAAGAAGGTATTTAAAATTGGCTGCCTGTTCCAAGCTATAAAAAGTGATAACTTTATATCCATAGAGTGTTTAATTGTGTCATTAGCAAATTTAAAAAGTAAGATTTTCAGAATATTATTGATATAGGTTGAAAACAACACACGACGAATAATGGAATTTCGTTTTACCCTAGAACTTACGAGAAATAAAGAAAAGTGTTGTCCATCAATAATGATTTTAATACTGCTGTTGGAAAAGAAGGATTCAACAAATTTAAAACTTTTCAAGATATATAGCCTAAAGAGAGCTTACGGAGGAGACCGACATGCTAGATAGAACCCTCACCTCTACCCTTACATATATATGGTAAAATCTTTTTTGTTATAACAGTTAAAGGTTGGGTTAAGTAAACTGACACTTTTTATATCTTGAATTAAAAAAGATTGGAATGAGCTACAAACTTGATTTTTTTTTTTTTTTATTGAACGCTTATCAAGTCTAGAACAAAAATAAATAAAGAAAAGAATTATATTTCTTCAATACGATAAAATTTTCTACTTTTTCTCTTGATGGAAGTCAAGATTTTGCACTAGGTGCGATCCATACTCTGTGGTAGTTTTATCCCGCTCCTTCTTAAAGTCAGTACTTGATTTTGCTTGCCTATACTTCTTACGTAATTTGGCTTTAATAATCGCCCAATATTGCTTAACTGGACGAAGTTCAGGACAATTTGCACGATTGTGTGGTCTAGGCATAAAATCGATACTATTGGCATTGTAGAAGTTTAACGTGAATTTGGAGTAATGACGAGACGCTAGGTCAGGCCAAAAGATTGCATTACCATCATAGGCGTTCCACATTGGCAATAAACGCTTTTTAAGGCAATCTTTTTGATAGATTTCACTATTTATTGTGGAATTAGTGACAAAACTTTGTGTTTTTAATCCACATTGACATATGGCTTGCCAAACCATAATTTTTTGGAGGAATTTTTTTAGTTTTATTGTTTTAAATTTAGCCTTTACCTTTTTCCTGGAGACTCCCATATAAAAATGATGTCCTGAAATCGTTTTGAAATTTAACTTCACATAAGTTTCATCATTGATAATTATATATTTTTTTCTTCACAATAATTTGTATAATTTTCCTGCACGACTTTTTGCCACTAATTTTTCTTCAATATTGTGATCTGGGGCTTTATACATCTTGAAGGACTTGATTTTATGCTTTTTCTTGATAGTCCGAACCATTTGTCTGCTAGTTTTGCATTTTAGTTCCCAATCTCGCTCGGAAACGTTAGGATTTGCCCTTATTTTCGCCAAAATATTCATCTTCAGTTTTTTGTTAATTTTCAAGTTGTTGCCGTTTCCAGGCTTTCTATTTATTGTATTAAGTGTCAAATGAGAGGCAAGTTAGGATTTTTCATTCAAGTGTGCAAAAATGCATCACGTACTCGTTGCTGTTTTATTGCCATTTTGAATAATAATAAAATTTTTCTAAAAAAAAAAATATTTTAAGTGAAATAGTAATTTATGGATAATTGTTTTTCTGTATGATAACATTTTGTAACATTATGATTTTTTTAACGTTCTTATTATAAGAAATAAAAACTGTCAATTTTACTTAACCCAACCTTTATCAAGTCAGCTGTAGAACGACAAGATCGAAATTAATATCGATATTCAAATATTAGTTACTAGACTCAAAGGTACTAGAGGTTTTGTTAATTAAATACTCAAAGATCTTGCTAATAATGTTAAAAGGCAATAGAGGGATCAGAGCGAACTCATAGATGCCATTTTCCAGCTGATATACAAACAATAGTAAAGCATTTGTTAATAAAAAATTGAAATTAAAAAATATATTAAATAGTTTAAAGAGCATTAAAAAGAGTTCTAAAAAACACTTTTGTAAGACTGACAGGAATATTTTCAAGAACACGAGGCGTGGGGAAATTATAGTGATGATTAACTTTAGTAACGGAAGCATGAGTGATTTGGATGTCTGATGGTAAACCTGTTTCTTTGTTATAACTGGAAGAGTGGTCCTTAGATTAATGAGATCAACTATAGAAAAAGTGTTTTTTAAAATCGTATCTATAAATAAAACATGTAAATGTTTAAATTTTAATTGTTTATAACATTGCTAAGGATTTTTAAAAAATAATAGAACTTAACTTCTGAGATAAATTACAAAGTTAAGTAATTTATTTTGTTATTAAGATATAAAAAAGTTTTTATGACAACATTTTAAGCATACCTCATCTTTTAGTATGTAACTTTTTAGCTAAAGAATTCCATAATTTAATATAATTAAAAAAAAAAAAATTGTTAAAATTCAACATGAAAGCAAAATAACAAATTTTTATCTTTCTAATAAACTTTCAATATTTTTAATGAATGTTTTTTTTTTTTGCTTGGCTTTTTTCTCAAACATCTGTTTTTCTGACTTTTGCTTCAACTTCAAACAATATATCTCATTAAATAATTATGCTATAGCTCAGAAATTTTCATTGTTTGTTTAGTAAAAATATATTCTTATCGTTTATTAAAACCAAGATCAGTACTATTTATCTAAGTTGAATTTTCTTAATTCGATAACCTCCATAATTTGATTAAATGCTAAGTTGTCGTGAAATGTCACTGTAAAAAGTCAACTTCTATAATTCGGAAATCTCTCTGATTCGAACCTTTTTTTTTCCCATTAGGTTTGAACTAGAGAGATTGTACTGGTATCAATAAGGTAATTTATGAAATATGACTCAAAGAAAAACCCTTATGACCTAAAAGCCTTGTTATTAGGAAAAACTCATTTATTAAATGTTGTTAAACGATGATTTAATAATTTTGATTTAGTTTTTTTTAATCTATTAACAATAAGTATTTCGGCCGAATTTCAAAGTATTTTATGACTTGGGAACAAGATGAAATAGCAAATAAATAACTTAGAGGAGCTTGAAATAGCATTAAATAATAACTTGGGAGCAGCTTGAAACTGCATTAAGTTTAGATAACCAAAAGTGGCTAAATTTAGGTACTAAAAGTGTCTCTATTCACTTATTACTCAACTTTATACTCGAAAATCATTTAGAAAAAAAAAATGAAGGCTGTTTGAAAATTTTTTTAAAAAAAATTTATAACAATGAAATTTAATACAAAAAATATAAAACCGTTTAATATAAAAACCAAATAAAAAAAAGGTTATTATTCTAACCTCTTAGAATATTCAAAAGGAAATAGTAGAAAGACATGGGAAGAAATTTAGCGACTGCCACTAATGGTCCATTAAGTAACCAAAGAGAAAAACTACATTAGACTGCTCAAAATGTCAATATAGGCCCACTTTTTTGGGCTATAAAATGTTTCCTGGGTCTTTTATTTATCTTCAATTTTTCAATAACAACGAGTATTTTTCCAAGTCAATTAAAAATGGCATGAGTAGCCTGTATAAAAAAATACAATGATTCTATACCATCTAACTACAGAACTATATCTGTTCTTTCCTGTTTTTCAAAGTTGCTTAAGCGTATTATGTATAACAGGCTATAAAATTATCTTGAAAAACATAATATCTTATTCAGCAAACAGTTTGGTTTTCAAAATGAATGATTTAGCAAGTAAAATTATGGTCGAGTTTGCTAACAAAAAATGTACTCTTTTTATTTTCATCCATTCCAATATAAAAACAAATTTCTCTACAGTAAGTCGTGAGCTGGAAAACCAATATAGTAAGCAGAGTTGCATCACTTAAAATCTTATGACTAATACTTGATGAATATCTTAATTGGAAAAATTATGCAACGCTAATTGAAAACTTATATATACAAAAAAAAAATACATACATATCCATAGTAAAATTGTACATCTTGTCACCAGGCAACGTTTTGAATATAAAATGTAAAATATACAGGATTTGTTAATGATCTTTATTAGATAAATAATTAAACAGACAGGGGCTCAAAGAAGATAAGGAT